ATGATTTGAGTCGACGAACGATGAGCTCGGCAACTCTGGGAAGAAGATCTGCGCATCGCGAAACATTACATATGACAGAAACGGAGCATGCACACAAATCTTCTTGAAGGCATTGTTGACATCATGCTCTGACTGTGCCTGTTCAACTAGACAAGCTGCCCTATGGAAAGCTCCTGCGCACACATAACTTGCAAACGCTTCAGCGGCTTCTTTCTTGAGATCAAGTGTTCCACGCTGATGACGCTTTGTTCTCCAACGTGTCCACTGCTGCAGCCCTTTCTAGGGGGTTGCTGAACCCAAAGTAATTGGGCGCAACGTGGTTGCGAACACACCTTCCTCAATTTCAAGGTTCTCAATGTCATCTAAAAGGTCGTGTCCAGTTTGTCCCTGGTAGACACGAAGCAAGGCCTCTAGCCCGCTGCCAGATAGTACCTGCAGTTGATCGTCCCACAGCTAGGCTGTAAATTTCCAAGCTGGCATTGTCCAAAACAGGTCATTTCCATTTTGGATTGTATCAAATCTTCAGTTTCTCTTTGCTTACATCGTTGAATATTTTATTTTGTGTTGCTATAACATGTCATATCGTTTTCCCAGATTTTCCCAGTTTCAAATCCCAGATGTCATATCGTGTTTCCCAGTGTTCCCATGGTTTTCCCAGTTTTTTGCCAGTTTTCCCAATGTTTTCCCAGTTTTTTCCCAGTTTTCCCATGGTTTCCCCAGTTTTTTGCCAGTTTTCCCAGTGTTTTCCCAGTTTTTTTCCCAGTTTTCCCATGTTTTTTCCAGTTTTTTGCTATCCCTCTTTTCTTTCCCCGGCATCGTGATCACAGTGTTTCGATGGTGGCCCATGGGCCCCTCGGCACCTTTGTTTCACAGCATGGCAGCAGCCGAGACAAGGTCCTCTGCGGCAGCGGCGATGGGAATACCTCTATTTTAGGCAAACCTCCATATTATACATACACATGATGAATATAAATAGATACACATATTACCAGTAGTCTGCGTGTGTGAGTTATACGATAATATATATATATATATATATATTATACAATCTATACCGTACATGCATGTGTATATATATAATATACAATCATTTGAAGTTCATGTAACATCTGTGTGTTTGCAAGTATCCAATACACAGAACATGTGTATATATGTATGATCTGTATGATATGTATGATATGTATGATATATATGATATGTGTGATATGTATAAAATATGTATTAAATATGTATAAAGCATGTATAAATTAACTATGTATAAAATATGTCATAAATATATAATAATAAAAATCATAATAAAATAATAATAATAATAATAATAATATATATATACATGTATAAAATAAGTCTAAACTATGTATAAAATATGTGTTTGTAAGTATTGGTTAATTAGCAGAAGCATTGCACATAAATATGTTCACGTGTATACATGTATATACAGTATACATACAACAAAAACAAACATACATACATACATACATACGTACGTACGTACGTACGTACATACATACATTCATATATATATATATGTATATATAAACTATGATGTACAGTACGTAACATTCAGGGATTGTTGCACCAACCATGAACCAAATGATGGTACAGTTGTGTGTAGTTCAAGTTAGTTCCACAAAGCTTAGTCATAGTCTAAGTCCCAATCCTATGGGTCAGTTGAACATCCACATGTTGCAAAGCATTGTTTGGTTTGGTTGCATTTGATCATGAATTATGGGTCAAAAACCCAAGAGAAAATTGGTGCAAACTCGACTTGTCGTTGCAAAGCTTCAACATCTCTCAATGTCAAGACCCATTAAATGGCACGTTCCAAAATCATCGTCCGATGTCGTCGATTGCTGTCTCCACAACGAAAAGATCCGAAAGGATTTGAATGTTTAGTTTAGATTCCTTACCGGTAAATATCCAGTCGATATACGACAGATATTCCGTTGGGTCAAAACAGCCAGAGTATTTTTTTTCCCATAGAATGCTTACCATATGACTGAAACATCAATGAAACGAAAAACATATAAAACAGTCACCTGAATTTGACAGATACTCATCTTGACCTTGAATTTTCCATAAGAATATCTGGAATATAAATCGTAAAGATAAACAAGATATTTACGCAATAAAACATAAAATTTTGGCTGAAGTACAATTATTCACTCACTAACCTGAACAAAGCTGAAGCTTGCGGGGATTTGGGTATGATTCTCCACAATCGAATCATCATTCTAGTGACGTCACGACTCGAGGTCACTATAAATCAGCCACATTTATAATGCCATAACAAATAAATATGTATGTATATATATAATACACACTGAATGCCATGTATAATACGATGATTATATCACATCTTATATTACCACATGTTAATTTTGATATCTCTTACATATTAAATAATGATATAGAGATAATCTATGTGTAATCTTCGTCAATAAATTGTTCGTCCGGACCTGCTGCATGTCGTCAAAGTCGTACTTGGGCAGCAGCCGATATCGCAAGACCATGGCGCGAAAGCCCTGGGATCTGGGATCCACCGATGGAATCCCAGGTGCCCATGGATGTCACAAGGCAGAAAATATTGGAATCTACCCGGCCTGGTAAACATACAAAAAGCTATTGAACATGGCCATAGAAACAGTTGATGACTACCCAGCTCGAAAATGGTGGATCTTTCCATAGTTATGTAAACGTTTACCAGGCCGGGTAAATGGCATGTATCACACGGAAAATTCGCGAAAAACCGAATGACTATTTGGAAGGTGACTAATTGAATCAGCATGGATTTACCTCGTGATCTAAGCAACAAAAGTAAGGAAGTCATCGGCAAAATAACATGGATTTACCGCTGTTTACATTTGATTATGGACCATTATTGCGTTTACTTCACCATAGCAACTATTGATATCCATCAAAACAAGAAGTGAGCCAAGTGTGTCAGCTATATATTCATTATGCCACCAATATTTATAGTTATCCAGTAAATAATATAACCAAAAACTGGTGAAACGGGATATTTTATTGGTAAAGCAACAGTTTGCTATGGAAAATCAGCATTTTAGAGCTAGTAAATCAACGAACTCAATGGCCATTGTCAATAACAAAGTGTCAAATTACCAGAGGGTTATTTCATGTCTAATCCGCCATTGTTTCAATCATTTTGCATAGTGAAATCCAATGGATGTTCAGACAAACCGAAGCCATAGCCTATGGTTATTTTAAACATAGCTATGGAAGCGCCCATAGAAATAGACTATCTATATTGATTTACCTAGCTATAAAATGGTGTCTTGCCCACATCCATGTTAGTTCCTATTATATAATCACCATCAAATCAATCCCATTAAATCACAATGAAATCCAATAAAAATACCATCTAGTTATTTAACATAGCCATGGAAAATCCCTTGTAGATGGAAGTTTTAATGGGAAAATCATATGTAAATGGGCAATTTTCCATGGCTATGTTAAATAACCAGAGGGTAGATGATTCAAGATGATTGACCTATCTAAAATGCTGATTTCCCATCGCCATATCTCTGGCACCGGGCACCTGCTTCGCGAAGAACTCTGCCACAGGCAGACCCTCATGAGGCACCAGGAACCTGAGAAATGGCAGAGCTGGGTCAGCTTTTTGGACACCTTTAACAAGGTGAAGCCCTTAGAATCTTAGAAAAAAAAACCATAGGAAAACCCATAGGAAAACTATAAAAAGAACTAGAGGAAAATGGTGACTTAACCACAAAAATTGGTGATTTCATCGGCTTTATTGCTGATGATAGCAATGTTGATGCACATAACCTGGTCAACCAGGGCCTAAACGGGGGATATAACGAACTCGTCAATAAGGTTTATAAACCAACAAACACTTCACTGGGGAGTCTCACCTTCTAACAATCTGACATCATAGAAAACCACCCCGGATTTCCGGGCCGTCGGATGATGTTCAGCCATATTTTAGCCATAGCCATATGAGCCATGGTCAATACTCACTATATGGTTGATGGTCATCCCATCCATAATAAGGATCCTTATAATGGTTAGTATAAATCCCTATGAACCATTGGATGACTAGCCCCTATTAATGGTTATTAACCATGAGTATTGACCATAGCCATATGTATTTCCCAAGTCTTCTTGGTGGCTTTTCCAAAGTTGGATGGTTAAATTGGCATCAATGGATACCCTCTGGTAAACATACAAAAAACTATGGGAAGTGACCATGTTTAATGGGTCAATCCACTATTTCTATGGCCATTTTCAATAGCTATGTTAGTTTACCAGAGGGTATCAATGGCATCAATATCAACTATGAGTTTCACCTGCACCAATTGATCACATAGAAGCTGCAAACAATGGCCCACCTAGGTGAAACGAGCTACGTCAAAAGGACTGCAAATCATGAAAAGGGCAAGTTGTGGTACGACGCTACGACCAGCCATCAGTGATGCCATCGGGCCATGAGAACATATGAATGTGTCTGAATTTGTGTATCTTTTATGGGAAAATGATGATACACATTGAGAGACCCATCAAATTGGAGGTAGACCATTTTCGGACCAACTCATATCAACTCCAAAGAGATGATGATGCACCATTTGGAGGAGCTTAGTGGTGTATCTCCACGAATTCATCAGTGCCAACCATCAAACAACTCAGAATAAGCATGAAATTTTCGTAAAATTGAGGCATTTGATGAATTCTGGCCTGCTTGTCGCCTGCCCTTCAGATACATTACGGGTCAAACATAGACACTTTGCCCCCCATCCCTCTTCACAACCCTCCACAGCCGGAAAGCTGGTAATTCCCACCAGGGCAAATGATGAGACTTCCACGACTCCCATCCGCCACGCTTTCCATGGATGGTAAGAGCCGCGGCGTATGTGGACCGAAGAAGAGAGGGTCCAGCCTGTTGCAGAAAAATGTGCCATGGTCAAATCAGGTTTTTTTCTTGTGGGTTTTGAGTTTTGACCATCGCACAAATGGCACTTGAGATGGCACTTGAGGCGCACAAAAATCATTGATCTTGATCAATCTATCCCATCCTTCGATCAGATATACCCCTACAATTCGGAAGATCCAATACTAACCAAGCTCCCCTGGGTTTATTTATATCATATACGAACAGGGGGAAGGGACGAATTGTCATACCCAGGCCTGAACTGGGACTGACTGGGTCGCTTTAGATCACACAGCTGCTGGATCATACACTCAATTCACATGCAGATGTTGCCTCTCCGTGCTTTCAAGATCTTTCAATATGGGCATTTCCTGAACTGGTGGTACCCCAAAATAGTTGGTCTATAATTTATAATGGAACATTTTATTGAAAAGGATGATTTGGGGGTACCCCCATTTTAGGAAACCTCCACATAGATCAAACATGATCAAATACAGAGTGAATCAAGCAGGGTCCGGTTTCTCTCGTTTCAAGAGCACTATGTCTGCTTCTATGCACTGAGCCCAAGATATCTTTCAAACGCTGGAAAGTTCATCGGGCCGCAGCCCACTGGCAGCGGGTTGTTGTTTCGCTGTGGCTGGGCTTCGCAGAGTCCGCGCAGCTTCCCCTGGCTTGGAGTTACCCCCACCCTGTGGCCAGGCACAAGTCACTCCTCAGCCGAGGCCCTGCAAAAGGGTGAAAATCTGACGACCAATGGAGGCACCGTTGGGCAACTTTCGCCAGGTGCAAATGATTGAGAGCTCCGCTCGCCGAAGCTGAGCCAGGAATGCACGACCCAATTGATGTGCTTGCAAGGCAGTCCTGCGATGTCCAGTGAACATCAAAACTTGATCTACGTTGTATCCCAAACATCAAGGGTCCATCAAATCCGCAAACTTCCAATCTTTACCGAAACCTCTGGAACCAAAGAACTGGGGCCCTTGGGGACAGATCAATGGAGTTCCAACTCGATGGATGTGGGTCAAAATCTGCGCTTTTGCTGGGCCTTAAATTTTGATCCATTCCCAACTTACCCTCCGGTGTCAAACTTGGGCTGGGAAATCCCCGAACTAAATGAATATGTACCCTCTGGTAATTTAACATAGCTATTGAAAATGGCCCAAATTTATACTTAATTTACCTATAAAAAATGGTGATTTTCCATTGTATGTTTACCAGAGGGTAAATGAGAAAACTCATGCATGAATACTGGATTTTCCAGCCCAATGTTTGTAATTGGGCAATGTTCACCCACTTCTACATGGAAAACCCCAGGAAATCTGGATTTACTAACCATGGTTAGCCATGATTAACTCCACAATTTTGGCAGGTTAAGTCCCCAATTGTCAATCCAGATGAAGTTGGTTTTATAATGTTTTATATCTCAACTCGATCCCAACAAAAGCTCTATGATAACCAGTCAACCATCATGTCTCAATTTCATATCCCCCATATGGCGATGGGTCAGAATCTATGAATTACCATATGACTGGGGGTTTATTCGAAGGAATACACATCCATTAACAAGGGTACCCCGGTTTTGACCCATCACCATATCATCATAATCATACCCGAAATGGTATACATTCACATAAACTAACATAAACCAGCATAAGCAACAAAAGAACTAAGATAAACTAACATTAACATTAACATAAACTAACAAAAACTAACATAGCAACATAGAAAATGGCCACTGAGTTTGTTGATTTATCTATTAAAGTTGCCCCGGAGGCCTCAGGCTCGGCAGCCGCGGGCGACTGGCGCATTGTGAACAGATCAACCACCATGGACCTGATCAAAAAGGGGATACCCCAAGAGATGATTTCGGGCTACCTTTTTGACTTAGGAAACCCACCAAAAAATGAGCATTTTATGGATTGAGACCCACCAAAATTGTGGATTTTAGTTGATTGTATGCTATTTTCAATATGGAATTTGGAGCAAGAAATCAACTCTGCAAGTTCAAGACATTGCTATTTTGACCAACAAAACTTGGGAAGAGATTGGAAAAGAGGGTATAGTTTAAACCAATGAAGTGAGGGATTTGACATGGTTTTTACAACTTCAAGTTGATTGATGTGTTTATGTAAAAGTAATGTAGGAGTGGAGCAACAAACAGTTTTTGGGAATTCACCAACAAACATGATGATTCTGATCAACAGCAACTAGAGATACTTCTGAACTTCAGAATGGTTTGAAAAGGGACAAAACCCGAAAGAAAACAACAAGGATTTCCCATGATTCAAACATGAACCCATTGAAATAAACCAATGCATATTGAGATTTAACATGATGATACATGATGTGCATATACGTATAATTACATACACAGAAACAACCAAATGGACAATGGACAAACATTAATGTGGTTTACCTAGCAAGGACCAAGAGGTGGCATGTAGCCAACAAACATTGAGACTTTCACCAACAAAACAGCACCAGAGACCTTTCAAAGCAACATCTTTTGTCTCTGTAAACAACAAGCCTTCTTCCAGGTGCACCCATCAAGTGGCTCACGGCTCACCTCACCCATACCATTTCGCTCCCATCGCCAGGTAACATTTTCGACAGACCAGTACATTCGATCGAAGCTTTGCGCCAGCTTCACAGTACGTACAATTCGGATGGCTTTTCCTGTCGCGACGTCGTGAAAGAGCAGGAATATCACCAATGGGGGTATATGGGGAGATCATTTTGCGGATATAATATAAATGGGTATAACGGATATCATTCCAGTCCCCGACCATATTATATAATATATGTATATACATATCTTATTATATTATAGTCCTGCCCGTCCTGCCCAGAAACGGACACCTAAAATGAATAATTAAATCCAATACCACTTCCTCGCGATTTATCGGAATTATACATCCACCCACGTACATCCCATGGTATATTCGCTATCAGATGGGCTTTCCAAAGGCAACAGATCCAGACTGAGTGTAACTGGTTGGTGGTTTTTTGCCTACCGCTCTGAAAAATATGAAAGTCGGTTGGGATTATTATTCCCAATATATGGAAAAAAATAAACATGTTCCAAACCACCAACCAGGTAATGACAATGACTACAATCTGCGTTGACAGTGGCCATATTTTGGCCACACAACAGCTCAGGACCACTGCTCTCCATCCATTCCAATATTTCCCAGAAAAAGCCTGTCAGCCAAAAACTGGAGACAAATTCCCCAGTCATCTTTTACCCTCTGGTAAACTAACATAACTATGGAAAATCACCATTTTTCATGGGAAAACTCACTATAAATGGCCATTTTCAATAGCTTTTTGTATGTTTACCAGAGGGTAGATGTTTAGTCTCTGGATATCATTAGTGGTTATCGGTCAACATTTCTCAAAGTGCATTCGACTTTCTTAGTGCCATTTCTTTTGGAGATCATCATCGCCAAAGAAAAACCCGAATCTTTGCTGCTGATTGGTTTTAAAATGTCCCATGTGCTCCATGGTGCTGGAATATTTACCTACAAAACTGGGCCATTTCACATTTGAAGGGTAAATGTAGGTAAAGATTCCAGCACCATGGAGCATCTGGGATTTTGCTGGTGAACATTCATCGTGTTGATGCCCTACCAGGGCTCACATCCATCCGGTCACATCTGGACGGAAGTTGAACCCACACGTCGAGTGAGTCACTCGTACTGAAGGAATCCTCCAACAAATCAGTTTTGTTAACGCTTTAAGTTGTGTCAACGAATACGTTGGACATAAGCACGCTGGGATGTGCGTATAGTTTACCACCTACCATCTATATATATATATATGTAATATATATATATATGTACAATTATATACATCTAGATACCATGTACCAGTCATTGCGGCTTTGTCAGGCATCTTCACCCATCCGTTTCAACAAGTTCCTGAGGCTCAAACTCAATGGCCCCCATGTTTTAATGATTAGATTAGTTTGAAGTTGGAATTTAGAATGACCAAAAATGCTTGGATCCAGTAACATTGTTTTGAGCCATACCCATGATGGCCCGTGATATGAGTCTGTCTGGCCATAACTTGGTGTATACGCCATGTTCAGATTCATTCAAATCTTGAGTGCAACAGCGCAACCTTTTTTGTGTATCCATTAAATCCCATTTGCGTATCTTCTATATGGTTCAATAAGCTTATGTGTTTGGCTCAAGTGTTTTTAATTCACCAACCTGAAATATTTTAGGTCTTTGGGGGTGATGTTATTTCATATAATATCCGTGATATAAACTCCAAGTGTAGATTGTTAAATCAACAGTTTTCTTATGACAAAACTCACGAATAATAACCGCACGAATCATGCCCGCGTCTCCTGCAGTGCTCTCGATGGAGTCGATGTCCCTCCCAGCACTTGGGCATCGAACCTGCAGATTTGCGAAAAGGGCAGCTCCGAACACATCTTTTCTTAGCTGGTGAACGTAGATATTCATAGATATTCCCATTTATAGCAAGATATTATATAAAGGATTAAACTACCCAAGGTTGGGGATGTTATTTGGTATTGTTATTTGGTACTGGAAGCCATGGCAAATTTGAGTTTGATGATAAGAATGCTGATTTACCTGGTTGAAAATGGTGATTTTTAATAGCTCCTTTAAAATACCAGAGGGTATCTGGAATGATTGGAGATATTTGGAAGATTGGACACCATTTCGTGGGGAATTGAACTGAAATTAATGACTTGAATAGTAATTGCAAATCAAATGATATGAAACATGTTTGTTTCATCAAGTATGTTTGATTCATGGGACAAGACACCTAGCCTCGCAAGAAAATATTTAGTGCTGTGGCTACCCCAGACCCTGCAATTTATAAAGATACAGCTCCCTGCCAACAGGACAAAATGTACAGAGCCCTTTCAATGGGAGGACGTCACCTTGGACCAATGGCTTCTTAATTAAGTGTTTAACTGGTTGGTGGTTTTAACCATCTTGAAAAATATGAGTTCGTCAATGGGAGGATGACATCCCATATATGAAATGGACAATAAAATTCATGTAACCACCAACCAGTTAACTTATTCAATCACTTCTGAAGAGGGCCAGAGTTGGTTTGCCCCCAACAAGCTGGTGGTGGTCCTGCCTCGTTCAGCATACAGGGCAATCCAATTGGGCAAATACGGCCAGCGGTCTCGTTTCACCTTAGTCTGGACATGTCTGGACTGTGCGGAAAACCGGACCTTTAAATCGGATGGGATGTCAATGTCATGGCTTATCTAAGCCATGACGGATCCATGGTGCTGCTATATCTGGTAACATTTACGCCATCCTCCATTGGATAACATTATCTGGTTAGATAACCCATATATGTATGCTAACATTATCTGGTGCTCCATGGATCCCATCAATAAAAACACCCAAATAATGTTAGCAGCCATATACCAGCACCAGCCGGATCCTATGGGGATGATACAATTTCAAACCAGATCTCGGTAGTGATCACTGGATAATCACTACCTCCATGGATTTCCAGTAAACAAACATGGCTAGTAGGGTTAGTTGGATAATCACTGGATAATAACTGGATAATCACTACCTCTTGGATGATCACTACCTCCATGGATTTCAACCATTAAACAACCAACTGTTGTCATCCAGGGCTAGTTGGTTGATATCCAGGGCTGTGTTTTGCTCAATTCGATGATGTTCGGCGCAAGGCGCAAGGCGAGCCAAAGCCTCCAAGAGGATGCATAAAATAAACAAGAAACGAATGAAATTCGTAGTGGTATATGATACTTAAGTAACTTAAGTAGTAATCATGAAACTATATTATGATATGATATGATTATATGACACTAATGATAATCAGAATAACTTATATTCTGGTTTATAACGAAACTAACGAAACTTGCAGTAACAACAACCGTGACAATAGCAATAATGATAATCATCATCATCACAGCGCCACTGTTTCTCACAACCCTCCATCCCCAGCGCAACTCCTTGCGACCCCCAGTGGCAATGGGCTTTTGGGAAGTGCATCGGCCCACTTTCAAGCGTCGACTGCGTCGCTCTGGCAACTTCCCCATGGCGATCAAACAGCTTTTCGACGGCGATGGGAGGAAACTTCGAAGGTGCAATCGATTGATATTGAAGACATCTATTTACATTGCCAATCTTAGATACCCTTCAAGAAATGACAAATTATTTGCTGGTTAGTAGATATTCCCATTGATACCAAAAGACTAAAGGATTAAAGTATCCATGTAAGATTGACCTAGTTTACTATTTTGTATGTTTGTGCAATGCGTGTGATAAGTGTGAGATGAATGTTTCTGGTCGTTATCTTAATATCAAATATATCGTTTAGCTGATTTTCGGATCACTCATGAGGTGCCCTTGTTGCGACCTATCCTGAAACAATATGTTTCGATTGATATGTAAAAACCATATATATATATATATTATATGTAAAAACTGTAAAAACTATATGTCTTTAGATTGTTTTAGGATGTGTCTGACCATGTCTGACCATGTCTGACCATGTCTGACCATGTCTTGTCTTTTCAGCTCACCCCAGCCAAATGGCTGTCAAGGCGGGAAGTTAAAAGAGACAGCTGAAAGCAGTGTACCCCCTCAAGTGGTTCTCTCCTTCTGCTCGATCTACCTAAATAAATCTGGCTGAATTAAAATAATTCACTGACCTGTAAAAACTTAAATAAGGACATGTGGGGATGATTCCCCTTACTAACCAGCATTCCAGAGTCAATTGTATATAACGTATACACATGAGTATACAACAATATTGGTATATATATTGGTATATATTGGTTATTTATCTGAAGCCTAGTGAATATCAATAGAAGTTGGTAAATGAATCACCATCATCCCCATTGGTCATCACGGATGCTCGGAAACTTCAAATGCGAAGTTTCAACAACTATCATCGGGTAAACACTTCTGAATAGTAATAATAGCAATGATAATAAGAATAAGATGGTTTATAATAGTAATAATGATAATTATTATAACCATAACAATGGGATAAGAACCATATGAACCATCCCCATAATAAGAATAATGGTCATAATAGATAAATGAACCTATCCTATGGGGATGGTTTGAATCCCACCCGTGAAAGTGGTGATTCTTGTTCCATCCTTTTCCTCGTTCTTCCGCCTTCGCTTACCCAATGGTTTCACACTGGTTCCCAGACGATAGTTTCAGTTGAGACATCACATTGAAATTCGGTGATTTTTGAGGACAGTTTACTCATTGCCAATCTTCATACCCTGCAAAAAATGGACAAATTCTTAGCTGATGAACGTAGATATTTCCATTTATAGCAAGAGATTAAATCAATGGCCATTTCAGGATCCAACAGATGGAGGTACCGATTCCATATATAAGGCCTAGTTTTCAGGCCTAAATTTCAGGGAATATCCCCACAATTCATATGGCCAAACATATGACTTATATGGTACTAACGTACCTCCAATCTGTTGGATCCTGGAATTTCCATTGATTAAAGGAAGAGTTTCTAGCCATCCAGTTGGTTGAGGATGTTTTGGGGATGGTTTACTGGCGCCACATGAGTTCCCCTTGTCCGTCCGCCCAGCCCCGGCGTTTCGTCACTTGACAGGGATCGGTTGAAACGGCGGTGCATCGAACAGGCCTCAGCTGACACGGAAGTGATGTGAATGGTACCCGTGGATGGGCCAGCGAAATCCTGCACTACTTGGTAACCATCTGGTAATTTGTTACATAGCTATTGAAAATGGCCCAGTCGAAATAGTTGATTTACCCAGCTAGAAAATGGTGATTTTCCCATCCGTTTTTTGTAAACGTTTACCAGGCCGGGTAACTATCTGGTAACCATGAAACAATGGGTCCAAGCCTTATAGTAAGTAGATGTTTTTGTAGCATTATAATCCAGTGGATCCAAACTTGGTATTGGTATAGGGTTTATCCCACTAAGCCACTATAATCCTGAAAAGAATGGGATTAGAATGGGATAAACATGGATAAACCATCATATACAGTACCAACTGGTGCAGGATTTTACAATCATCCACAGTTAATGGAAATGCCTGGAACCTCAAACAACCAGACACAGTAGACACAGTGACAGCCATAAGGAAACAACCAGGGTCTTTTCTCTTAACCCAGGATTACCCTCTGGTAAACATACAAAAAGCGACATAGAAAATGGCCCAGTCGAAATAGTGAGTTTTCCCATTAATAGCATGGTGATTTTCCATGATTTTCCCATCCGTTTTTTGTATGTTTACCAGGCCGGGTAGTAAACCACCAGTGCAGTACCGGTACCCAATTACCGTATTGATCCGAGGAATACAGAGCCCTTTCAATGGGAGGACGTCACCTTAGACCAACGACTTCTTCATAAGTGTTTAACTGGTTGGTGGTGACTTAACCATCTTGAAAAATATGAGTTCGTCAATGGGAAGGATGACATCCCATATATGAACGTGAAAATAAACGATGTTTGAAACCAACAACCAGTTTAAGATTGAGTCTCACTTGATCTGTCAAACAAAGCGTTCCTTTTTTTTGATCTGGGTGCCAGGTGTACATGTGTGATGCGTTCTATGACTGTGGACTAAAACGGCGTTGGATTGAAAACATACAAATATATTACATATACCCGGCCTGGTAAACTAATATAGCTGTTGAAAATCACCATTTTTAGTGGGTGAATCAACTATTGCGACTGGGCCATTTTCAATAGCTATGTAACAAATTACCAGAGGGTAAATACCATTGAATACCTAAACAGCTGGCAAATGGATCTTCATTCTCACAAAGAGGAGGTACGTAATGGTACGTATTGAGCCACTCCCTATTTGCACAATTTGGAGCAAATGGTCTCGAGGTTGATCATTGCCAGGTGAGAATCCAAAACCCATTTCTGTTCCAGCCGTGCGTTTCCATGCGTTTCCATGCTTGTTTATTAAAAAAAACATGTTTAAATTGCAATGTAGCCAACAGAACAACACAGTAAATACATGTGACATATTGGATACCCCCATAAGAACCCAAAGGAATAGTTCCTATACTAAACCATTCATTTCTGGGGTATACTTAATTTAAGCTTAATGCAGCCTTAATATTAGGAGGATTGGATTAGTTCACATAATTTGATTGGCTCAAATGACTATGGGATCGCACTTAGAACAGGGATGATGCACCAAAACCTTTTGGGCATAATCATCAATGATGGAATTACTACTACCCTCTGTAAATTTGTTAAATAGCTATTGAAAATGACCATTTATAGTGGATTTACCCATTGAAAAGGGTGATTTTCCATAGTTTTTTGTATGTTTACCAGAGGGTAATAAACACAGAGTCTATCCATTGTATCCATTACACAACAACATATTGGCAATGTGAGTGTCCATGAGTTTCCAAGTGAATGACCCCCAAATCTATGCAGTCTATTTCGAAGTCTATAGATGTCTATATGACTGAAAATCACTATATCGTTGAGGATCAATGGGCCCTAATCATTGCCAATCGCAGATACCCTGCAAAAAATGTCAAATTCTTTGCTGGTGGACGTAGATATTCCCATACCAAAAGACTAAAGGATTAGTTTCTACCCATCTAAGATTGACCTAGATTGGAAAATGGTTTATGGCATTGGGCAAGTCCTCCGTCTGGTAAACTCACATGTTTCATGGGAAAAATCACATTTGTTTCTCCATTTTTACTGGGTAAATCAACCAGTGATTGATCCTCATCTCCCCATTGAAACTGCTATCGAACGGGGCTGGAAACCGGAAGAAACGGCTAAACGGCTAGGCGATGAAAATCATCCTCTGAGAGTCCCATTAAACCCCATTAATGTGGTTAAGACAATAATAAACCACCCATTTGGGAATTGTTTATAGCACCTATTTATGGTGATTTGGGGGATGGTTATTATTGTTTTAACCCCATTAAACCCCTTTAATTCCTATTCATTCCCAATAATTCCCAATAATTTTACATGAATTCCCATTCTATAACTCCCAGTAATCAGTATACATACCCTCTGGTTATTTAACATAGCCATGGAAAATCACCATGTTTAATAGGTAAACCATCTATAAATGGGCCATCTATACCATGGCTATGTTAAATAACCAGATGGAAATTCCCATGGAAATTCCGAAGGGTAAACCTCTATTTCTTGCTGGGCCGTGAGGCATCGCTCTTGCAGGTGGTGGATGGAATGATGAGATTTCCGCTACCTGCGGCCATGGATGCCCAAACATCACTTATGAACCTCCAACCACCAGGTTGAAATTGGACGAATCTTGACCATAAACTAAGAGAGTCACCAACTTGCAGGCTGGTGAAATTCCCAACTAAGCCTAGATCATCTCCTTGCAAGGTTCGAAACACATGGTACGTTTAGCCTTTCCGAAACACATGGTGCGTTTAGACTTTAGATTTCAATGTCATTGTTCTTGCCTTACGGGCCAATTTGTTTCGACCATTAGAATGGTAGGTTCTTCAGGTCCACCATCTTCGAAAACACTCAAATCTGTTCACAGTATCACACCTGGTATCTTAACAAACATGACCCATGTGTAGATTATTTACCTGGTATCATGGAAATTGCCCATTAACTATGTCAAATTACGAGGGGGTATCTCTTCTATGATGCCATGTACTGCTCAGATATTATATGTTATATATATAGTTACATACACATGCCGGTTTCACAGTGTTTCCATTCCTGGTTGGTGGTTTTAACCATCTTGAAAAATATTAGTCAATGGGAAGGATTATCCCATATATATATATTATGGAAAATAAAAACTGTTTGAAACCACCAACCGGATTCCCAGGCCCCCCTAGTTCTTAGTTGGTTTTACACTACCAGCTAAAGCCCCAGGATTTGCCGCGTTTCCGAGTTACCCAACAAGGGCCGCCCAGGCCGCCCAGTTCTGTTTGGTTAAACCCAATTAACATCCATTAACTGGTGTGTTATTTGCGTATCATAAGCATTTCATAAGCCATAGTGGTTGGATGCTACCTTCCAATGGATTGGTTGGTTGGGGAAAATCAAAACCGGAAA